GCGTAGAGAAGCATGGAAAAGACTGCTGAGTGAAGCGAAAGGTAAGAAAAGGCTTGTCTTCACAACGCTATGTAGTAATCTACTAATGTTACTGTAGCTATACGAGTTGAAGTATGATATTCGACCCTCTATATTCGACTGTTTCTTCACAATTTTCCAATAAAGAGTTTGTCAAGCCACGCTCAAGTCAGTATAACCAGACTGTATTTTATTTATATCAGTTATCACAGCCACAGGCAATTTTATGCTGTCAAATACCGTCGGTTGCAACTAAAGGTGAACAGTTGCAGATAAAACATTCTCTATTCTCATTAAAAAGCCTGTAAAGGTTTCCAGTAGGTCTCTAGCCCAACACGTTCAGACCACACAAAGTTTTTTTTACTTATTATTGCACACATGGGAAACAACAATTAAGTGTTGTTGTTCTTGACAAACATTGGAGATTCTAATCACGCAAATGTTTTTATGAGCAACTGTTCATCGTTAGTTGCAAACGACGGTACAACATACTATGAACATTTTTCCGACTGTGACCGAATGTGCAACGATATAATTTTCAAAGTTGTTATCAATTCCTAAAATTTGTTTATAGTAAAAGGGCCTGCTCAGCACTCACTACTCACGTTGATCCGATTTCATTTAGAAATGCATTTACCGGGAAAGGAACTGATTCTAAAATATGTAAATTTAAAAGCATTGGCTAACAGAATAAATTAAGCGATCGATGAAGACAAGGTACAAACTTTTATAGTTGCTATTTGTTATAAAATCCTATAAATAAACCGATTCAACAATAATTTTGCCTCGAATTTGCATATTCTATGCTGCATATTTATATTTTATTTTTATAGTATAAAAATAAAATTGTAATACTATGAAATAAAATACATTTCTGTTTATTGACCAGTACTTATTTAATGTCTTCTTCATCCAGTGGTCAGAGTAAATTTCTACTTCTAGCAAGTAAATATTTGACAAGCAGTCTGGAATAAGCACAGGACTTTTAATGCATCAGCCAAATCCAAGTGTGTCCCTCCCCCTCGCCCAGCCATTTTCCTGTAAAGCACATCCCGGGGGTTGGGCATTTCCACTCGAACCTTAGCCCCGGTGGGGCATTTGAAATTAATAATTTGGATTCTTGCACTTCACTTGTGGAATTAATATTAGAATGTTAGGGTTTGTAATCCAAGTGAGAATATATACATGTATATATTTTTGTAAATCCAAGTGAGAATATTTTGTAATCCAAGTGAGAATATACAAATGTACCGGTATAGTACATGTATATATTTGGTGTATATATTTTGTAATCCAAATGAGAATAGTTTGTAATCCAAGTGAGAATATGCAAATGTATATATTCTCACTTGGATTACAAGCCCTAACATTCTAATTTTAATTCCACCAAGTGAAGTGCAAGAATCCAAATTATTGAAGTCCACCTTATCACAACCCGCACACCCGATTACCTAAATATACATGAACTTACGGTTAAAGCTCGACAGCTGGTCTCTTGTAGCTCAGTTGGTTAGAGCGCTGCACCGGAATCGCAGGGCCGTAGGTTAAATTCCTACCAGAGGACCTTGTGCTGCATTTTTCGCAGTCGTTCCTTGTTAGGTCTTAAAATGTATATATTCTCACTTGGATTACAAACCCTAACATTCAAATATTAATCCCAACAAGTGAAGTGCAAGAATCCAAATTATTGAAGTCCACCTTATCATAACCCGCACACCCGATTACCTAAATATACATGAACTTACGGTTAAAGCTCAACAGCTGGCCTCTGTAGCTCAGTTGGTTAGAGCACTGCACCGGAATCACAGGGCCGTAGGTTCAATTCCTACCAGAGGACTTTGTGCTGCATTTTTCGCAGTCGTTCCTGGTTAGGTCTTAAAATATATATATTCTCACTTGGATTACAAACCCTAACATTCTAATATTAATTCCAACAAGTGAAGTGCAAGAATCCAAATTATTGAAGTCCACCTTATCACAACCCGCACACCCGACTACCTAAATATACATGAACTTACAGTTAAAGCTCAACAGCTGGCCTCTGTAGCTCAGTTGGTTAGAGCGCTGCACCGGAATCGCAGGGCTGTAGGTTCTATTCCTACCAGAGGACCTTGTGCTGCATTTTTCGCAGTCGTTCCTGGTTAGGTCTTAAAATGTATATATTCTCACTTGGATTACAAACCCTAACATTCTAATATTAATTCCAACAAGTGAAGTGCAAGAATCCAAATTATTGAAGTCTACCTTATCACAACCCGCACACCCGATTACCTAAATATACATGAACTTACAGTTAAAGCTCAACAGCTGGCCTCTGTAGCTCAGTTGGTTAGAGCGCTGCACCGGAATCGCAGGGCCGTAGGTTCAACTCCTACCAGAGGACCTTGTGCTGCATTTTTCGCAGTCGTTCCTGGTTAGGTCTTAAAATGTATATATTCTCACTTGGATTACAAACCCTAACATTCTAATATTAATTCCAACAAGTGAAGTGCAAGAATCCAAATTATTGAAGTCCACCTTATCATAACCCGCACACCCGATTACCTAAATATACATGAACTTATGATTAAAGCTCAACAGCTGGCCGAGCTGTAGCTCAGTTGGTTAGAGCGTTGCACCGGAATCGCAGGCCCGTAGGTTCAATTCCTACCAGAGGACCTTGTGCTGCATTTTTCGCAGTCGTTCCTGGTTAGGTCTTAAAATGTATATGTTCTCACTTGGATTACAAACCCTAACATTCTAATATTAATTCCAACAAGTGAAGTGCAAGAATCCAAATTATCGAAGTCCACCTTATCACAACCCGCACACCCGATTACCTAAATATACATGAACTTACAGTTAAAGCTCAACAGCTGGCCTCTGTAGCTCAGTTGGTTAGAGCGCTGCACCGGAATCGCAGGGCTGTAGGTTCAATTCCTACCAGAGGACCTTGCACGCTGCATTTTTCGCAGTCGTTCCTGGTTAGGTCGTAAAATGTATATATTCTCACTTGGATTACAAACCCTAACATTCTAATATTAATTCCAACAAGTGAAGTGCAAGAATCCAAATTATTGAAGTCCACCTTATCACAACCCGCATACCCGATTACCTAAATATACATGAACTTACGGTTACAGCTCAACAGCTGGCCTCTGTAGCTCAGTTGGTTAGAGCGCTGCACCGGAATCGCAGGGCTGTAGGTTCAATTCCTAGCAGAGGACCTTGTGCTGCATTTTTCGCAGTCGTTCCTGGTTAGGTCGTAAAATGTATATATGCTCACTTGGATTACAAACCCTAACATTCTAATATTAATTCCAACAAGTGAAGTACAAGAATCCAAATTATTGAAGTCCACCTTATCACAACCCGCACACCTGATTATAGATATATATTTTATAAATATAGGTTTTGCGATCACTGATAACTTGATATTTATTAATAGTATAAAACAAAGCACTTCTATCTGCAACTTTTACTATCACTGATAACTTGATAATAATTTAAACCAGTCAAGTTGTAGTTTAAATGAGAATAATACATTGGTGCATGAAATACCAGATTTATTTCGAGTGTTGATCATGAGTGTGGAGCGAACAAGTGGGCGCATCGAACGAGTGAGATGTCATGTTCAACACGAAAAATAAATCTGGTATTTCCAACCACCCATGTATTTTTCTGTTTATTATATAAAGGACAGTCTTAAATGAAAAGCGATAATTTTTACAGAAAGCGATGATTGAAAAGGCGATAATTTTCACATGTGAGATTATCATGAATAATTTCACATGTGAGATTATCATTTTTATCAGTGCTTGAAATCTCTGTAAAACACTACTTTATATAATAAAAATTCATAAATTTGAACCATGCTAGAGCATGACAACAGCAAAATGCTGTATAGTATGATGCACAATATTTTGGGAGGTGAAATACAGGAACAATAAATCACAGAGTGTTTGCTTGGAACTCACTGGGGGGGGGGGCAACACCGCTGATAATTGCTCATAAGGAATTTCAGGTAGATTTCCAGTGCACTGTTAGGTAAAATTAAGTAGATTTGCAGAAGATTTTCAGGAGAATTCAGGTAATTCTCAGGACATGAGAAAGTGAATTTGGAAAACAACTGTATTTTTGGAAAAATTATTATATGTCCTGAAAATTTTTTTTATATCTGGAAACATTTTGGTCACCCCCCTACCCCCCTCTATCTAACCTCACACACACCCTGAGACGAAGTGCTCGCAACGGCACTGAGTATACATCTTTTGAAAACAGGCGAGGGGTTATTGCATGCATGTATTTCTAGTGTTCTCTTGTACTTTAGTACTTGGTAATAACTCCAGCATTGGAACATTTTTAAATGTTTTTGTTAGCTTCTTCTGTTCTTGAATGCAACTCTTCACCCTATCTCGAATGGCATACTGATGGGTCCAGTGGATATTTTTATTAATGTGATCTTTAGTTTGAACTTGTGCACGTATTTCTAGACATTGTCACCAACAATCCTAACAAAGTTTAATTAACTTTTAAATAGTAACATACTTTAGCAGCCATTTTGAAATTCACTATGATCACCTTTTCTGTTAAATTTATTTTATTTGTTGAGGTCATCAGTCCCCCCAACCATTCAGATAGATGGTGCAATATGTGAAGAAAGAAAAAAATCTAAAAAATGGAGACATATTAAAGAGGGCTTATTGGTGAGGACTTATGACAATGTTTATAGTGATGCGTTTATATGTTTTACATAAATTATTTGTAGCAAACGAGATCACATAAACGCTTGCTACAGAGGCTAAATATACGTGATCATATTTAATAATATATCATATTCAGCCAAAAAAATTAAACTCCGTTTACACTACGCTCAATTTTTGGTACGGCACGGATAAAATTGGTACCCGTACCACTTTTTTGGTTCTTTGGTTCAAGAACCAAAAAGTGGTACCAAAATTGAGCGTAGTGCAAACGGGGCTTTATATGACATAATAAAATACTTACTTGTACCGAGACGTTTTTGTCCGTGCTATCTCACTGAAAGCATCTTCAAATACCTCTTCACTATAGTGTTCCCCAATTAATCGTGTCTGAGATTTGCACTCGGCTGCATTTAAAACATTTGTTATGAGTTTGAGCGCTTCTGCGTCAAAATACAGTGGACATGTTTTGTTGTTAACACTAGTTTTGCTCAAATCAACTGATCTCTCGATGACCATATCAGCTTGAAAACAGGGTATTTGACGCTCTCGTATTTCTTCCATTAATTTCAGCAAATAGTTCATTCGCCAACAAGAAAAGAAGTTACGCTTGACTTGATTTGTACAAATATAAAGGATTATTATTCGAAACCAGTAATCTCTGCTCCCCTGGGTACTAGTGATCATTCTTGCATAAAATTAAAGTTCTCGGCTGGGAATCATGTAAACTCAATCTCGAAACGAAAGGTCAAAGTCCGCCCAGTAAAAGAATCTAATTTGACATTATTCAGAAGTCACCTTTCAAACTATGACTGGAATAATGTTCTCTCCATCCAATCACTTGATGAAAAAGTTGATCAATTCACAAATATACTGACAAACGCTATCGATTCCTTTTTTCCATTAAAGACGGTGAAGTTTTGTAATGATAAGCCTTTCATAACTGGTCGAATAAAGTATTTAATCTCAAAGCGTGATCGGGCATACAAGAATAACAACAAGGATTGTTATAAATATTACCGCAATAAGGTCACTTACGAAATTAGAAAAGAGAAAGAGAAATTTTACGACGAAAGAGTAAAATCGAGTAATTCTAAACAGTGGTGGAAGAATGTTAAACAAATTTGTAACCTTAAACGTTCCACTGGTTTTACCTTATTTAACAAAGAAACGAACGCGCCACTGTCAAAAGGTGAAATGGCTGAAACCATAAACTGCTTTTTCTCAAGCTTAACTCATTAACGCGCAAGCTGTTACAATGTTTCTACCCCCCTAACGTGCAAGCAATATGGCGAATACGTGACTGAATTCAAGAGCTTTCACCAAAATGGCAATATCTCAGAAACAGTTGCATGAAAAAATCTGGTCTTTTCAACCAAATATTATTAATATATGATTGACCAAATTTAGTTTAAATGAACTTGCATACCTATATATATCATTAGTTTTTTCAATGAGAATTTTTATTTGTAAACCAGTGGCACTATTTTTTTCATGTCACTCATCACCTAAAGGGGCAGTACCCTTACGAAAATGTTCTATAGAATCCTATAGAATATGTTATTGAATATTCTATCTCCTGTAGAATATTCTATAGGATGTCCATATCCTATAGAATATTCCAAGGCAGTATTCTATAGGATTTCAGATCGTATAGAATATTCTATTGCACATTCATATGAAACATCCTATTACATATTCTATACAATATTTTTAAAAACATTGTATAGGACATTCTATAGAATATCTTATAGAATATGAACTTCTTCGTGACATTAACCCAATATTATTCTACCACATCATATATTTAGTGGCAGATTTCAGATCGTATAGAATATTCTATTGCACATTCATATGAAACATCCTATTAAATATTCTATACAATATTTTTAAAAACATTATATAGGACATTCTGTAGAATATCTTATAGAATATGAACTTCTTCGTGACATTAATTCAATATTATTTCACCAATCTACTGCATGTTTAGAGGCATTATTTTAATACATAACTCGATCGGTACCATAAAACTCCACGTATTTCAATTAATGATTGATCTTTGACAAAATTTACGTATTAGATTGTATATACAGTATGCAGTCGTAAACTATAGGCAAATAGATCATGCTACAAAAATGCATAGGTTTCTCAAAATATTTGGTTGACAAATTGGATTATATGGTGTCCCTCGCAGCCTGTTTGCACGATTCATTTAATAAAATATTGGTTCTATATATTTTCTAGCTGCGTTTATTATCTTTTTTGCTAAAAGGACTAACAGAAAATGTCATAAATGAGCAATTTACATTCCCAATTGCTTAACCTATTTGGTTGTTTGCAATTGATACAACTCAGCTAGTATTCACACATGTACAACAGATAAAACTAATATTTTTGGTATGAAAAATTGGGAAGATTGTAGAAACATCTAAATATGTTTAGTTGTTTTTAAAAAATAAAGGAAAGCCAAATTATATAAACTATACTTGAATAAGTCAATCAAACAAAAATTTGAGTCAACTATCGTGACCTGGAAAGACAATACAGCATATATTAAACACCATGTACAAAGTATAGTAAATATTATAATTAAACAATATTACATCAATATTACACTAATCATCATAAATTCTATAGGGTAATGGACAAAAGTACGTTTTGTCACTCAAGCTTAGAGAAATACACTTTCGTTCAATTTGAGATGGATACATTGCAATTATATCATCACTTTCTTCAACTTCCACAATAAAATTGCTATTGACATTAAAATCTAAATCTCTAAATAACATTCTATTGCTAGCATACATTGGTTTTATAAAAACTACATTATATAGTTTACACTGACAGTATTGTGAGAATTCTAACGTACAACGACACAATGGCTTAATATTGAGAAGACCTACAATTCTGCCATATTTGGAAGATGGATGTTGGATTGATACGTGGTGGTTTGTGTGTCGTTTGGAACGAGTGTAGCTTAGAGAAGAATACAACTTATGGTTATACAGAAATCTATCATACATCTTTCCACATCGATTGTCTACAGTTTCATTTAGAAGATCTTCCAGAGCAACCAACATACGTGCATCCAAAGTTGCCAGCTTTCCACAACCCAAGGTAGCTAATCCATTTGAAGCATTATTGTGCACAAACCTGGCATGATTAGTCAGCTTACCAAGCAGTTCTTTCACAGAAGCAGAACAATCATCATCAACCCAGGATGTCGTCAGTGATAAAACCTTGTTTTGCAGCAAAAATGTATCGGTTATTTGCTGTGGAACACATTGTGTCCCATTAAACATATTCATCAGCACATGATTATGTGACTCAAAGGTAAATGCAGAAGTTGCCCACAAGGGACCACAGTCCTTAACACAATGTGCCAAATGCGTTAAACAGTGAGCGTTAAACTTACAACTTGATAAACCATACAATTCCTCCAGCTTTATCACAAACTTTGTTAAACAAAGTTCAGCGAGACAAATTGAGGAACTTGAGATTGAGTCACCCAATAGTGTGTAAATGCCATACACAAAAAGAAAGTAGTGCCTCAAGAATATAGCAGGGAGAATTCCATGGAGAACAACAAGGCTGTAAAAGATGAATGCTCTCCATTCAGATGCCTTCCAAAAGTGTCGCTGCGAAATACTGCGAGGACTTCTGTGTATTTCACTGGGAGGGCTGATTAGCTGCAGTCGCTCATCAACTAACTTGACCTTTTGGCCAATGTAGTAACTTTCACCATGGTGTTTACTCTCAAACCATAACTCTACCATTTGCCTCATGACCCCAAGGCAAACAGAATGCATGTAATCTGCAACTGTGCCCCTGACAGTATCGAAGGATGGCAATAAATCAGCCACTGTAACACCCTTCACTCCCTTAATGGAATTACCAGCAGTAGCCTGTAATGCATAAGCTGCTTGTTTCTTGGAAGGCCGCATCACCACTGGTGTTCTGTGGGGATAGTAACGGACAGGTGGCCCATTATTATTAGTAGCTACAGTCACACCTTCAAATTCACACCAATCACACCCAAACTGACCATTAAATTGTTTTACATTTCGAACAATTGCTCGAGCAGGTGAATCAGCAGACAAAAGAAAAGCAAAAACCTTCCTAGGCTGAATCTCATTCCCAAAAAGAAACCCATCAGTCTCTAACCTTGAACACTCTTCAACAAAAGGCACCAGGAAGACATTCATATTCGGTTTCTGACCAAACCACAGACCAAGTAGCAAGATGTTTTTGTGACGAAGATGAGGAGGGAGCTCATTAATAGAAGCTTGTAATGGCCATATAGAAAAATTTGAGGACTTAAATACCGGAATACCATCTGTATTCCACATCAATGAGATGTCATTTGGACCAAGACCATGCTCAGTAATAAGTTCTTTGTACAACTCTGATGTTACTACATCTGTTACAACTACTGAGTTAAGACTTTCTTCTATGTTTCTATTAGATAAATAAGAATACAATTTACCATTTGCAAGCATTGTTTCAATCTGCTTCAGCAGGGGAATGTAAACAAAATAATATCCATTCTTTATGCTTTGATCTTCACTGAATAGACTGTCACACGCCTTGCATGTTTTCATACCTGTGTTCCGACCCAAGTATGTGGTGCATGTTGAACAGTAGAAGTGCTTCTATAATATAAAGTGATAGTATCGTTAAATTAATGATAGAAAGCAGTTTATAAAACATTGCACAAGCGAAACCTTGGGTAGTATCTGAAACATTTTAAATATTGCAGGGCTTTATCCAAGCACTAACTGACCTAAAACTGAATCTTGGATTAAGTTTTTAAACTGAATCTTTCCCCCAAAGAAAAGAAAAAACAACAAAAAATCATTTTCACACGCTTTAGTTTTTCGAATTCCGAGAAACAGGGTTACTTGAGATGTAAATTTTTATTTTTACAAACCCTTATAATGTTTCTCGTACAAAACAATATTTGATTTGAAACCTGAAGCATTCGATGTCTTGTATAAAAGCAATATTGTCATTTGTGATGAAGGATTCTTATTCATGACCCTACCGAAAAAGGTACCGTAGATAAGATTCTGAAATCAAAACAGTGTTTCCGACGTACTATAGAGGCTCTTAATTTCAAAAATTTTCTCACTCAGCGCCAACCATGGTGGCGCCCCGTGAGATCCACCCCCTCCCCACCGAGTTTCAGAATAACTTTCCAGTCAAATTGCGAAAAGTTGTATAGAATGATAGGATACTGAAATTCTGGCCGAAATCACTCGCACAATTAGCCATTTGTAAGGCTTCTAAGATGCTGAAATAACAAAATCTTTCAGGGACTTTCCCTCTTGGCCCCCAGAGCTACATTCATGCATCACAAAAACTGAATGTTCGCCTTCTAAAACGGGGGTCAGCAAAAGTTCTTGGAAAGACTTGGATAAATCCCTGATATTGCCCTAGGAATTCAATTACATTTTTTTGTGTTTAATGTTTTAGAACTTTCTTCAAAAAAACACAGAGAGGTGTAGAATAGTTTTAAAATTAAACAGTTTTGAAAAATGCTAAAACAAGCTATTAGGAACTGTTCTTTGATCTAGATTTTTGAATTTTTCCATAAAAATTTTGCTCTATATTCAAAACTCCACAAGAGCACATGCACTGATTGCACTCATGATGATAACAGGGAAATTCATTACAGAATATGTTAGCATGTAAAATACCAATGAAAAAGAATATCTATTTAGTATACCATGCTTGCTCAAAATACATACCTCAGATTGGTCTAGCTGGAATGCTTTATAAAATCTATATTTGGTAGCTGGAACGGTGTCAGGAAAAAGTGTATTAAAGAGCAGCAGCAGGTCATCTAAGGCCACATCCGTAAGTTTGTGCCTTAGCACGAAGCACAGAATAAGAAGAAGACTTTGGCCTTTTGTGACATTGCAGCCAGGATATATTGGATCGTTCCTGTCTTCTGAGTTCTGAAATAAGTGTTAATGATTTTGAAATATACTATACAGTGGCACTTTACTAGGCTAAACAGTATAAGAATGGCAAAACTTGCATACAACCTTAACTGTAGATGTATTAGACGACATTACATTAGTTAACAAAGGGTGAAAATAAATTAGTACATTATAATTGACTAGCTAGTAGTCTACAAGTAAAATTGTTGTGCTTTAGAAATGGTAAGATTTTCTGGTATACACAGGACATAGTAAAAACTTAGGTGTGGGGCATGTGAGTGCATTGCCAGGTAATGAGGTTAACACAAGACACTGACAGATAGTTTTGTTAACCCATTTGCTGGCAGTATTCTATGACATTACAGACTCAATTGCAAAATACCTGTTCATTGCTTGTATTCCTGTCTTCGCTTATGCCATTAGTGTCAGTATTAATGTCATCTCCATATGCACTTCCACCAGCATCGCTATCATCCAATCCTTCATTTGTATACTCAGCCTATACGGTACCAAAAGAAAACAAAAAATTGAAACACAGCATTGGGAGAAAGACTTTGCCTTTGTGACATTGTAGGCAGGATATGTTGGATGGTTGCTGTCTTCTAAGTCCTAAAATAAGTGTTAATGTGTTTGAAGATGTTGAAATTTAACTTATTATACAATGGCACTTGACATGGCTAATTAGTATACCAAGAGTGAACCTGTGAATATTTGATATCACCCTTTGTGAAAAATGTTTTGAAGGCCAAGCCAAGCCTTGCATGCACATGAAATCAGGCATGCATGTTTGAAAATACATGTATCACATGACATTATATTAGTTAACAAAGGGTAAAAATAAATGACATCATAATGAACTAACTAGTGGTCTACCAATTGGAAGTAAAATTATTTGGCATAGACATGGTAAAATTTTCTGCCGTAGGACTGAGTAAAAACCTAAGTGTGAGGCATGTGAGTACACTAATTGCCAGGTAATGGGGTTAACAAGAGACACTTGCAGATAGTTTTGTTAACCCATTAATGTACTGGCAGCATTCTGTGACATCACAGATTCAATTGCAGAATACCTGTTCATTGCTTGTATTCCTCTCCTCAATTATGCCATTCATGTCATCTCCAGTTGCATTTGTTCTTTCATCGCTTCCATCCAATTCTTCATTCATATGTTCAGCCTAGATGCCAAACGGAAACAACAAATTGTTATTAACCATCATTATCAACAGTTCCTCAACCATACAGAGCATATTATTGTGGATGACCACTACAGTGAATAAAATGAAAAGGAAGATATTGCACAGTATATATTACCTGAAAACCTGCAGTTTGAATGTTCTCTTCATCTTCAATTTGGCTCTCATGGCATATTGTGTCACAAACACTCTAGATACAATAGATTTTCAATAAAGTGGTCAGACAAACTAATTACAAAACATACAAGGGTTGTATATAAACTTTATTACACAGCAGCTTGATGCTGCTAAAAAGAAATATAAATGATGTGGGGGGAGAGGGGCTGTAACAGGCAGGATTAGGTTCACACATGTATTCTTGACTTGCAATAAACTGGAAATCGGCCATGTTGGTGCTATTGTCACAAAAGGATCTCATTATCCTTCATTGAATTTGACACCAACATGGCATGCCATTCTCATGTCTTTTAGATCTCAAGGGATCAGTTGTAAGTCAAGAATTGTCTGCAGAAATAGTGACAAAAATAACAGGGTAGAAATACAATCAATACCTAATATACAATTTTAACACATTTACCAAGCTAATAAAATGTTGCCTACCGTGCGGGAACTATCATCACCAAGTGTTGAACCATTTTCAGCCTCGCCTACCTCGTCGTAATTACGTTTTCTCCTGTTATATGAAGTTGTCTTTGGAACAGGAACAGAAGCATCATATTCGTAGCGTTTATAAGGTCCTCTCGGCATTATTTTTGTAAAACTTTTCAACAGTTTTCTCACATTTTCGGTCTCAAATGTGATTCCAAAGTTCACAAAATCGCATTGTTTCAGTAAACACAAATTTGTTTCTGTCTGAAACCTCCCCACCCGCGAGAGCAGCCTGCCTGCAGGCGAAAGCGGTAACCAATGATCTTTGGCTATTTAGATCACGTGTTGGTGTATCAGGTTTCCGTCATACCATTCAAAACGTATTTTTCGAAGCTAGCAGAAGCGCAAAGGCAATTTTAAGACAAATTATTTGTAATATTTGCATTTTTTTCGTTCCTTTAAACATGAAATATGCGCTATTTGAATTTGTAAATGAGAAGGCATGTGAGATTGGCGAAACGCAATGGATTACTCGGGAAGATCCAGAAACTTTCCAAAATATCAACTGGGATGTTGAGAAGGAAATAATAGTGGCATGGCCAACGGAATTTTCCAAAGTGTCCAAAAAGATTGTAAAGGGGTCTATTGATCCATTAAAGGTATCGACAACAACTTGTGTGGCTAGAGTGCTGAAATTTAGTGGTAAGTCAAAGTTATTTGTGTTTAAATATACTCTCAAATCGAAGTGTTGATAAATTTTCATATTGTTAGCACAGGCTAAAGTTGATTTAGTTGCATTAGTTTAAATTATCAATCATATAAGTTTAGTAGCAATATATCAATCACAATCATGATGTGTACTAAAGTGTTTCTAATTCAGGCATAAAATGCTATAAGCAATACTCGTTTAAAAGCTTTATACACAAACCTGAATACTAGTTGCACATTACATCCCATGCTGGTCTGATTGGCTAGTTCTGTAATGTAGTAAGAGTTCTACAAAGTTGATTTTGTAGTTGTAAACAAAGTTGATATTGTAGTTCTAAACAAATGTGAAAAGCTATAATAATCCATTAACTAGCAGTTCTCTTCCACTGACCAGTAAAATCATCTGGGTCTAACCGGATAGATACTGAGGTGGGAGCATTTGGGCACACTGCAGTCAGTGGGTTAAAAGGATCAAGTTACTCTATCACCACCCCCTATGCATTGGTGGCATATATTCAAACACCCATTTGAATATCCGCTACCCCCCAACGATACGACATATGACATAAAAAAGCAAAAACGTCTGAAATATTGAGATTATGTTTTCGTAGACAATACAGAATGGATCATTTTAATCTTTCAACTTTAACTGTACCAAAAGACATGTGCTCTCAGAGTCTGTTGAACAAACGTCAGTGGTGTTTGTAACAGTTGATGTTGGAATTTTTTGTCTTTTCATCATGCAATTTTCTTAGAATGTCATGAAGTACGAATGCACGCTATTATATTTCTCAATAAATTAGGATAGGAAAGAAAAAACAGCAAATACGTATGTTTTCATTATCATATATATTTAAAGTGGAAGTCAAGTCTGTTCTGCACATCGGTTCTGCTCATAACAAAAGAGGGCCCTCAGATTTAAAAATTGTCGATATTCCGCATTCTTTGGACTTTTTCCGAATTGAAACTCTGGTTTATATTCATTTCAGAGCACATAGCAAACCAGAGAACAGTGTTAGATTTTCAGTTAGTATCATATTTTACAAATTTCGCAGTTCAAAATGTAAACGAAGCACTTGTTTACATTACGGACTTGACCTCCACTTTAAATTTGTTATGAAGGGGAGGCGTATATTTATATTCAAATGAAAAATTTTGTTATGCAGGGGAGGCGTATATTCAAATGAAAAATTTTGTTATTTGAATATACCTCACCAATGCATAGGGAATGGCAATAGAGTAAACTGAATGGTTAAAACACCATATTTTGCTAAAACTTCATTGACAGTAGATCTGAAATGATGCATTTGTTGTCTATATAGTTATGTACTTAAGCACAGTTAGGTATTTTCTACAAAGATTAATAGAACTATGTCAATATTTTTGTCCAGTTAATTTTGATGGGGCATTCTGTGCCCCAGATCATAGCACACTTAAAATATTGAACTGCTAACATGGATTGTGTGAGGAATGCCCTGGTTAAACTGAATATGAAATGTTTAGCAAATGTGTTTCAAGGTGTTCGTTGACGTTACTAGACTAAATCATTTGAAAAACAAGCCCACAACTTATTGTAATGTATTTAGATGACTATGAAAGTATTAGACAACACATGACAAGATACATAGAAACTGGATCAATAGCAACCCCAAGTCATGGTAGAGGTCAACGAACTTCTCAAAAGACCAGCAGATATGATGACTCTAATGAAGAATCAGAGCAAGAAAGGGTAAATTTTAAAAGATTAAGTCTATTAAAGTGAGAAAAAGCCTTGCCTTTATACTTGAAATCAAAACTTGTTTTGCAAAAATGTACATTGGTTGTTCTTAACCCTTTCTACAGCCTATGGTGTATGTGCTCACAAACATGTTCAGTGGCAGACACTTTGCAAAATGTTTGGGGGAGGGAGGGAGGCAATGTTTCAACATGCACGCCTTTGGTGTTCTTTAAGATATGAGAATCTTTTGAATATAATGCTTGGTATATCAAATTCATTGTTTAATTACTGTAATGTGACAATAACTTTATATGCTTAAATACTGGTGTGTTTCCTTGTTCCACTTGCTCCTAAACAATGCATTGAATTGTGATATTTGGTACCATATTTTACAGGTCTATCAAATCTATGTTGTATGATAAATTCTGTAAGTGTTTTACTGTATATTTGCCCAAAGACTCATAACACCAAAATTACCTTTATAGTCACCTAAACGACAAAAAAGGCAGCAACACTCTCGCAATGATTCAACAAGCGATGCAGCAATTCAAGCCTTAAAAGCCAAATATAACTTTCACAATAACAAAGTAAGTATTAGGAACCTTAAGCTTTTTTATTTATTTTTTTATGAGAAAATTCTAATGTTTTTTTACAATTTATTTAAAATTTATTACTATTTACTTGGTAGATAAGTTTTCGCCCTTCCAAGGTGTTCTAGGAAGGATGCCATTGGAAGCAATTTCCATATCAAGTCACCAATTTCCATATCAAGTCACCCACCAAATTCTGTTCCTGCTCTAGCTAGATCAAGCTGTATCCATCCCTGGATGTTTATATCAGGTTACTAAAGCTACATTTTCCTCTAGGTTTTATGTGCAAGTCAAAGTCAGTCTGCTGAAACTGAAGATGTAAGTCTACTTACTATACAGTGCATTCATGGATTTGTACAAGGTTTAACCCATGAATATTTCCTCACATGAATTAAAAAATGGTCAGAATTACTTTGAGAGGTGGAAAGTCAATGTCGACTTCCTTCAAGGATTATTATAACAATGTACGGTATACAGTCAGTGTTAATTTATTTTTTCCCTTTCATGTGTATGTAAAGAACAATACCACCAATGATGATCAGATTAAAGAATTAAAGAAAGAAAACCATGACCTTCAACAAGAAATCAAGAAGACAAAGAAATTGCACATTTGCATGGCATTATTGACAACCTCAAAGGTATTGTTTTTTTTCCTAATTTTGTTGCCCATGATACTGCCCAATTTTGCATTTTTTCTATTGAATGAAGCTATGTTCTGCAAATTAACAATTTCAATCTTTTTGAAACTTGCTCTTTCAGCAATTCCATCTCTACCGGGTATTGTTACTGATTTAAGAAAACAAGTTGAAAAACTCAAAGATGGAAACAGCAGCAGTATTAGCAGTAGCAGTGGCTCCTTACACAATTCACCATTGTCAGCAGGCACATTGTCTAGAAGTCCCTCTTTAAAAGAGTCAGCAAATTCAGATGACGAATCTGACGTAGTAAGTAAATCATTCTGTTTTTTTTTTTAATTCCTCCCAGTAGCAAACAGTATTGCTATATGGCACTTTTTGTTGCGTACCATTGCTGCCCAGATATTTCTATGGTCTTTTATGTTGGTAGTGCCAGAGAATCTTGCTCTAATGCCAGCTAGTTGATTTTCATTGTAAGTGGTAGGCTACTATTTAACAATTAGTTGCCGAAGGTGAGGTGATCTGCAAAGTGGCGTGGTGAATATGAGCTTGCAACAACCAACTGTTGACTGTATGTACCAGACATTTTGCTCCTTGATTTGTTTTATTAAATAATGATACAAGGAAAATCCAATTAGCATTACGCCAGTAATATTTTAATATACCGAACTCATAGCTTAGAATGAGTTTAACGTTATGTGGTAAGGTGGCAATGTGTAGAGCTCAACATATGTAAACACACATGTGAAACTGATTTTGGTTTTTTACTGTATAATATGGAACCATAATTGTGAAGTACCAGTACAATAACTAACAATCCTGCACAACCTATATGACCCAATTTGCATGATGACTGGTATTGAAATACACCGGACTGGTAATATTCCGTGGAGTATAGCAATATTATGGGCAGGTATGGTGTCAGCCTCGGTCAGGTGTGCAAAAACAAATTGCCCCTGAAAAATATTGTGTATTTGTTGGGCAGACTATTTGATGTTATTTCAGTTCTCTTAAAACAAAGAGATTGTTCCAGGGCGTAAAAGAAGAAAAGAACAACCCAGAATTTCTCGTGTAAGGAGTAGCTTGCAATTGTGAAATAAAACACACATATGCACTTTATACATGTTAACACCAGACGTGCATTCCTGTTTTATCGTGGCCAGTTTCAGACATCATGAATTTGGCTTTTAGCCCGTTCAGCAATGGCATTATCCTGTTTGCATTTTCTCATGCAAAGGCATTATTTACGAGTCTGGAAACCAAATAGCCCACGTGCAGGCCCAAGGGAACTGATAGTGGGCCTGCAAGCAACGCCCGGTATTTTGTAAAACGCCCGTTTTCATAATGCGCCCCATTCGTGTGTCAATTGTCAAAAAAGAACCAATGACAGCACCCAAATATTAACAAACAAACACGCATGAAAATGTTGAGGGGTTTTCTCTGCTTATTCAGAACATAAACAATGTGTAAATGGAAGCGTTTTAACTCCAAAAAAGCAAGCAACACAGTCAGTAATTGCCAAATTTGCAAGTGCTCATTTTCAACTAAAATCAGAACAGGCAAATTAGAAAGAATTTCAACAGAAAACCAGTCTCAAACTTCAAATTGTGAGGGAAGTCATGCGACCACATTAGCATTTATATTATGTGTGCTTCGCTGTCACCATTGGCATTGTTATAAATAAATTGTCTCACTTATCAGATCATGTGTGCAATTCTTGTTGACAACGGAAAGTGCAAAATTTATTTCAGTTATTTCATTTGGTAAAGAACTCTACAAAAGAAGAGAGCATTCAGAGCGTCCAGATCGTTTCGTTTCAAACGGCAATTTAATACCGTCTTCTGTTTCGCTCTCTCAGCGAAACCTTGTAAATTGCAAAGTGTTTCGAATAGGCTTACATGCAACTGCATCTCACATCAACCAAAAGATAATTTTCTTGAGGAACATATAACGTATCAAGTCTGTTTTGAAATTAATGAAACTCAAGTAAAGATTACTATAGTTTACCCCAGTCGTAATGTTGCTATTCCAACACCTCACGACAAGCAATCCCCATTGGCATAACGCAAAAAACATCTCTTCCTTCAAGTAAACAATAAACAGTGTTCTTGTTCCATTTATAATCGAAAAAAAGTGATCAATTTTCGAATTTTGAGCTTATCGAGAGCCTTTGTGATGAATCACTGACCTAATTATAGAATCCAACAGCAAACAGCCAATCAGCATGCCGCGTTCGTGGACGAACGCGGAAAGTACAAAATACTGGGCCTTGCTTCCAGGCCCACTATCAGTTCCCTTGGGCCTGCACGCAGGCTAGAAACCAAATTTTCCTCCCAACTTTTTAATTTTGCATTTTGAATGTTGTTCATGTTTTTTGAAAATGACAAAAACCTGTAACATGTTACAATTGTAACGAGTATCACAGTCCTGCATGGGCATATGGGCATACAACTCTAGAACAACACGAGTTTATGTCTGTTGTCGTGTTGAAGTTTATGCAAACCGCTTTGTGACTGCAAATAAAATGTTGCATATACTTGCGTCTGTTGTTCCTTGTGACAATATTGGTTAACAATTTCACTAACCATGACGTTTATACATCCATATCACATATGTTCTAAACATATATGATCAGTACAAGATCCACATTGCAAAATGTACTCTTTAATCACCTTAGAAAAAAGGTAATTGTGTATAATCTCGGGAATTACCTTGAAGTCGCTGTTTTGATCAGATAAGTTTGTAATTGCGAACTTGGGACTGGGAATAGATTTTCCCGCCAAAAGAAAACATTAGAATAATTAATTAGTTTTGGTATGCATGCTAGCTTGTAGGTTGAAATTTATATCTCCGTTGAGAACTGTTTGGACTGGTTTATTCTCCGTTGAGAACTGTGGAAGCTGTCTCCAGCGAGACATATATACATGACTTGGACTTATGAGAGCCCATAGTGTAAGTACGTTAAATAATGCCTCATTTGGCTTGTTGTAATGTGGGATTAGGGGTAATTATTTATGTAAATTCATATTTTGTTCGTAGGTTCGAAACCTTATTACAATACTGTTTACGATATTGTGTGCCTCATTTAAATTGACGAAATATTTCGAACACTGGAAATTCAAAGTCCTTGTATCAAAGTAGCAAGAAAGTGAGTAAACAACGTTTGAAACCATTTTAAAGAAATATATTAAACGAACTATATACACTTGGAATTTTAGTAAACATGTGAGTGATATCCGGCGAATTTTCGAGTGACTTCCGGTCTGTGCTTCCAGTTGACGAAAAATATTTCAAGTGATTCCGTTCAAAAATTGGCGCACAGTCATGGTTCTGGAGGTAGCAGAGGCTAAATTGGATCGAACTTCGGCTAAACGCGTATTTAATCGGAACGTCAAGAAATTAGTCGACTCTATTAACTCTAAAGATACGGCTGCATTAATCGAGAGTAGATTTAAAGATTTGAAGCAGCTCTGGGATGACGTCCAACGGAAGCACGAAGGGTATATAGAATCACTGGAAAATTCGAAGACGACTTATGATGTTGAGCAAGAGGATGGATGGATTGATGAAATGGATAAAGTTTATGATGACGTGTTACGGCAAAAGTTGGCATACTTTGAGACCGTAGAAGAGGATCAAAGGGAAATCGAAAGGCAACAAGAACAAATTTCTAAAGAGAAAGAAGATAAAGAAAGAGGGCGATAAAGCTACTTTTCGAGCTGAACAAGCCCGCAAAGTTGAAGAAATCGCATTTAGACAAGAGGTGGAAAATCTAGAAGAGGCATTAGCTGCAGAGATAGACAAACCCAATCCAGCAGCATCAATGCTTGAAACGGCAAGAACTGAGCTAAAAAGACAACTTGAAGAGTGTAAAAGGGTTAATGGTGAATATGTTCTGCTACTTGATGCTGAGACAGCTGGTGATGAGATAGCTTGGTTCACGAGTCTCCAAAAGATTTATTCGCAGATATCTAAAAAAATCGGCGACGTTATTCAACGGAAAAGTGATACCAAAGGTAATGCAATGAGAGGAAGCACAATGAAACTAGAAAGAATGAAATTACCCCAATTCAGTGGAAATATTCGAGACTACCCTCGTTTTTGATCAGATTTTGAAAAACAAATCCTACCAGAGTTGGAATCTGGAAAAGTTGCATATGTCCTCAAATCATGTCTCGAAGGTGAAGCATTTGATGCCATCTACAACTTAGATGATGATGTAACAAAAATGTGGAAGCGACTAGATGAGAAATATGGTCTGCCATCAAAATTAGTCGATGTTGTCGTATATGATATTAAGAATATAAAGCACTTACAGGAAGGAGATGATCAATCATTTCTAGAGCTTATAAATACGGTTGAGAAAGGCTATCAAGATCTAGCCAGAATCAATATGGAATCTGAAATATCCAATAGTGGAACAGTCAGTTTAATCGAAGAACGATTGCCTCGTGACATTAAGCGGGAATGGTCTAGAGAAGTCAACAGATCAGCCAGCAAAGTAGAACAGAAAAATAAGTTCCCGTATCTTCTCCAATTCCTTCAAGAACAAAGAAAGATTATAGAATACGAGTCATCAGAGCTGAGGACTGGAGGGGATCATGCTCGCAAAGGTTGTGTCCACATGATTGACCGTGATGGAAAGTTTATTGAAAACAAAGAAGCTACAAAGACGACCAGGTGCTTAGTTCACAGCTCGAGCACGCATTATACGGCCGATTGTAGAGTATATCAAGAGATGGCGCCTGAAGGGAAAGTCCAGTTGTTAAAGGAAAAGCGAGCTTGCTGGTCATGCCTCAAGATTGGTCACCGCTCTATTGACTGCAGACAACGCAAGAAATGCAACAGTGATGATTGTTCAAAATATCACCATGATTCCTTACACGTAGCCCACGTTCAAGGGGTTGCATTCCATATACCATATTTTTCCCGGCCAAATTCTGACGCAGATGGAAAGGAATCGGGAACTTGTTTGCTGCAGGTGATGTAAATAAAATCAGCTGTCAATGCTGCTCCTTTAAATGTGCTGTGGGACGGTGGTGCAACCATTAGTCTGATCACCTTTGTTAAAGCATGTGAGCTAAGTTTGGATGGAGAGGAAATTAGGCTGTCGGTTGTCAAAGTTGGCGGTGTCAAGGAAGAGATGAGATCATCAGTATACAAACTTCCCTTAATCGATGAATCAGGGGAGACTGTCAACTTCCGCGTTTATGGAATTGATCGGATATCCTCCCCTATGGAGGGAATTAACCTCAACGGCGTGATGCATCTGTTCCAAAACATAAACAAGCAGGAGATTCAGCGACCAAATGGGGAAATAGATGTGTTGATTGGTTATGAGTATGCAGGTTATCATCCTGAGCGGGAGCAATCTTCTGGGCATTTACTTCTGTTGAAAAACCGATTCGGTCGTTGTCTGGGTGGGTCTCACACCAGTATGGCAGAGAACACACTTAAGCTTATCCAGCATGCTACAGTTCACCATGTTGCGAGGATAAACATTGAAATTTTTTTCGATACTGAATCTCTAGGCGTTGAATGTTCCCCGAGATGTGGAAGTTGTCACTGTGGACGGTGCCCAATTGGTGGGAAAAGCTTCACATTGAAGGAGGAGCGGGAATTAAATTTGATTGAGGAAGGATTGACACATGAAGGCGATCATTGGGTTGCGCGATACCCTTGGATTAGGAGCCCGGATGATCTGCCAAACAACAAAGAAGCAGCTTTGATAATGCTTGGGTCTACAGAAAAGAGGTTGCAGAAGAACAAACCGCTTCTGGAAACGTACAAGGAGCAGATTCAGGATATGGTACAGCGAGGTGTTGCAAGGAAACTCACACAAGCAGAAATTGAAAACTATGACGGCCCAGTATATTACCTAAGCCACCACGAGGTGCTTAAACCAGAATCCACATCCACGCCTTGTCGAATAGTCTTCAATTCGTCAGCGAAGTTTCAGGGACATTCACTAAATAACTACTGGGCTAAGGGACCAGATCTTATGAACAACCTGCTCGGCATACTCGTGAGATTTAGAGAAGGCCCAGTGGCATTTGTCGGCGATATACGGAAGATGTACCACGCCATAAAGATATCAGTTCTTGATCAGCACACTCATAGATTTCTTTGGCGCGACGTGTCGCAGGATAGTGGGACAAGTACATATGTCATGACGTCCGTATCGTTCGGTGACAAACCTGCGGGAAATATCGCCACAGTTGCTCTACGCAAAACAGCGGAAATGCAAAAAGATGATCTTCCGAATGCATCAGATACCATCCTCAACAACACTTATGTTGACGACATTGCAGATAGTGTGGAGACTATGGTAACAGCACGAGAGACAAGCGGTCAAATTGACGATTTGGTCAAGGTTGGTGGATTCCAAATCAAGCATTGGATCTATTCATCAGAGAATGTGAACGATGACAGCGCAAATAGATCACTGGGAAGCAAGTCGGTATGCGAGAAGCAGATACAAAATACTGGGACAGCATGCTCTGAAGGGGATGAACAGAAAGTTCTTGGTGTACGCTGGGATTCAAATAGGGACGAATTTTGTTTCAAAACGCAACTTAACTTTACCCCAAAGATTAAGAAACTACGAAGTGGACCAAATCTCACTCAAGAACAAGTTCCAGCGCTTATTCCGCCCATACTAACGAAACGGATGGTGTTGTCGCAGATTAACGGAATATACGATCCACTTGGACTCGCAGCCCCATTCACCCTGAGGGCAAAGATACTTATGAGAAAATTGTGGATAGGAGAATCGAAAGACCTGACCTGGGACGATCCAATCCCCGCCTCGTTAAGAGAAGAGTGGTTGCGATTTTTCATTGAACTTTTCAACATGGAAAAGGTCACGTTTAGAAGGTGCGTGAAACCAGTCGGTGCTGTTGGCAACCCAGCCCTCGTGATGTTCAGTGATGGATCAGACCAGGCATATGGTACATGTGCATATGTAAGATGGCAGCTTGAAAATGGGACTTTTGGTGCCAATCTTCTAGCAGCAAAGAGCAGGGTCACACCAATTCGAAAGACGACAATCGTTAGAACGGAGTTGAACGAAGCGTTGCTTTCGAAAAGGCTTAGTGCTTTTATCAAGAAAGAATATCGCCTCATTTTCGAGAAAGAATATTTTTTCGTGGACTCGGAGATAGTTAGAGCAATGATTCAGAAAGATTCGTACGGATTCAACACCTATGCAGCCGTGCGAATTGGCGAGGATTCAAGAAGGAACTTCTCCAAGTGATTGGCATT